TAATATTAAATGATTTACGTGAAAAACATAAAACAACATGATGTTAGCATCAAATTTAAATGAGCAATACTTTATTATCGATAAAAGATAGATTCTTTTGACTCAAAAAAAAAACAAAACAAAGAATGTTATTTTTAGTCTTTTCCTTTATCGTATATCATCAATAGAAGATCATCGATATTATCAAATTGTTCCAGTTCGTCTTCATCGTGCACAAAATGATGAACATTTTGCAACAGCAACTATTCGTTATATGAAAGATTTTACATCATTTTTTGGAAATGGTTGTGTATTTTATTTATGACAAGATGATAAATATAGAATTCTCCTTACCCACGAAAAAAATTTTTGGAGAAAACCGCGGTGAATCGCGGTATCCTTTGAATAACCGCGGTTCACCGCGGTTTTATGTATCGCGTTAAAGAAAACCGCGGTGTAGCACATGATAACCGCGGTTTTAAATATAGCGGTTGTTACCGGTTTCATATACCGCGGTGTAGTACATGGTAACCGCGGTTTTAATTACAGCGGTTGTTACCGGTTTCGTATATCGTGGTGTAGTGCATGATAACTGCGGTATTAAATACAGCGTTTGTTACCGGTTTCATATACCGCGGTGTAGTATATGATAATCGCGTTTTTAAATATATCAGTTGTTATCGGTTTCGTATACTGCTGTGTAGTGGTCGATAACCGCGGTTTTAAGTGTAGCGGTTGTTACCGGTTTCATATACCGCAGTAAAGTACATGATAACTGCGGTATTAAATATAGCAGTTGTTGCCAGTTTCGTATACCGCCGTGTAGTGCATGATAATCGCGGCATTAAATATAGCGGTTGTCATCGGTTTCATAAACCGCGATGTGTTCCATAATAACCGCGGTATTCAATATAGCAGCTATCACCGGTTTCATAAACCTCGGCCTGTTCAATAATAACCGCGGTATTAATAATTGCAGCTCTGAGCGGTTTCACAAGCTTCTCATTGTTATCAACGTATTATTAAGAACGAATGAATATTTATTATTTTTCGATATATGTCTATTATTGAGTACATAGCGCCAAGGATATGCAACGATATTGTAATAACTCTCTCGTTATGAAAGAAAATTTTGGTACACGCGTCTTAGAAGTAATCAACGATCCTTTTTATCTATGAGCGATAAAATCGTCACTAATACTACACTATTAATGTTTTAGAATAGATTTTTCGCTCGAGAAAAACAATCATAATAAAAAAGCAACTTTATGATGCAATCGATAAAGCTTGAAAAGCTCTATTGAATTACATATTCAACGACTGTTTTTTTTCTATTCACCATGACACTAAGAAATTTTATTCTTTACGGTAGCATTTTACTAATTAGCATTCGTCGTGACCAATGAATAGTTAAACTATAAAAAGGAATTCTGAGATTTTTTTTTCTTCAATTTATATGTCCAAATAGTTTATAAAATTAAACTAGAACCATATAAAAACCAACATTCATATTGAACACTAGGCGTTTTTAAAATTCCTTTTGACCTAAAATATTCAATTAATTTTCCACTGGATTAATTAATAACTCAGTCAAATCTTTACTAATCCACTTTTTACTACGGACATATCACTGAATGTATCCTCAGCAGTCGAGCAAAATTTGAGAATATGTTCGGAGAGACACCCCTTCACGTTATACAATTCTTTTTCTTCATTTTAGATCAATCTCAGGTACGAATGAATAGTGATCGTTTTCTTAAATAAACAATCTTTCTCTCTATTTTAGATTAATCCCAAGATCCAATAAACAGGAAGTGTTTATTTAAATAATTTTTCTGTTCGAGGATTGTTTTGGATTTATCTGAAATTTCCATCAAACAGTAAGCATTTTTGAAATAATTTTTTTTCCTTTATTCTAGATTAACTCCAACACCCAATCAGCAGTAAGTGTTTATATAAATAGATTTTTTGTCCTAGGAATGTTTTAGATCGATCTGAAATTCGAATTGAACAATAAGGCCTTGTCCACACTACAAAAATTAATACTGTAATAAGAAATGTGATTGGTTCAAAAGTTAATACAGATTTAATACACTTTTCGAAAGTGTATTAAAGTTAATGCACCAATAAAAACTGAATTTGGTTCACTAATGAGAGTGAAGTAGTGTACCTCCGTGAAGTGATGTTATAAAACATAAAAAAAATATTTTTCATGCAATAATATGTAAATTATGTTAAAACATACGCTGATTATTTATAAAAAAGTTAAAAAAACAGTGTGTAACTGTTTTTTGGTCGAGGCAGGATAGTAACAATCATGGCTGCTCGCGCTATAGCACTTGTCAAAAATGTCAAATACTTGTCAAATTTTAAAAAAATACGTATACACATTGTTTTATAGCCAAATGGTTTAACCATGCAGTAGGATCAATCGAAGAAAAGAATAAAATATTGGTTGAATGAGAAATATGTGAAGCATTGTATTTGATTTCATGATAAATATTTTAAAAAATAGATTTTTATTGTTTGAAAGCTATTTTTAAGATGATTCCTCAATGTGTTCGAGTTGTTTTTCCTTCGAACAAAAATATTCAGGTTCTTCTTCCATCACAGCAATCAGTATTTCAATGTCCACGACCCTCCACATTGGAACAAATTCGTATCGTTAATCCAACTGCTTTTGTATCTCAATCAACTTCTAATTCATCTACATCACAATCTCATGTTATACCAAGTTCATTGCCTGCTTCATTGATTTCAAAAGAGCAGGCAACACAAAATACATCTTTATTTGTAACAAGAACATCCTCGTGTGAAATGCCATCTTTATTATCTCAAACAACTAGTGATGTTGCACCACAAGAAAATATATTAGGAACAAACTCGACATCAGATACAGGTAAAGAAAACATCTGTCTTAAAGAAAAAA